CAGCCATTTTGGATAGTTTTAGTGATAAATGCCTTTTTTTTAATTGGCAACGCTGAGCAGGAGAGATGTTAGTTTGCGATTTAGTCGGTATCTCCTCTCACCGTCTCTTTGGATTAGCATCAATATCCAAATGCTCATTGCTATTGTATCCTTTACTTTTAAGCTTGGCTGATAATTTCTATTTTGGCTTTTCTCACCGTCGTATTCATTTTTGCCAAACGTTAAAGATTCCTTGATTGCAACAAAATTTTGTATTTAATTTGTTCAAGTTTTTCACTGACTGGGCTAATTTGTTGGCAATACAAGTATGATCAATAAATCCTACTCACTTAGTTATGATTTTCACTTCCTAAACTCACTAGTTTTGATACTCAAATTGAAGTAAGAATCGAAATAGATATTTGAATTGCATTCGTTTCTCTTCGAATGAGTGGATATTTATAGATTTCTCTCCAAACTTTGGGGTAGTTTGGTCTTTTTGAGAGAATAATAGATGGCGGCTTCTTTTTAGTTACTCGATAACTGATTTGGTTAAAAGTGCCATGCTTTACGGGCGTGTTAACAACGTATGTCCAGCCTAAATGGGATAGCAATTCGCGTTTATTTTATGCGAACCTCCAGGGACTTTATTCTCCTCGTGTATTTGTTGCATGTTTTTCAGGTGTTTTAATAAGGTTTGCAAAGCGGATTTTTTAGATTAACAATGCTCGTCTAAATTTTTAGTGACTAGGATGAAGATACATCCTTTATTATGATTTTTTTATATCAATTTCGAAACCTTGACGTTAGATACTTGTTTATCTTGGATGATTGTTATTGAATTAATGCTAGCAATTGGTTAACTAATGATTTATGATATTTATTTTATTTTAGAGAAATAATAGAGATTTTAGCACTTGATACACAACCGTTATAGAGTAAAATAGGGTGATAAAAAATGTATCGCTATGTCTTGAATGATTTAATTGAATGTCAATTGATTAAATGAATATTTGTACGTTTGCATCTTTCATAAAGATATAAGAGGATTACATGTGAGGGTAGATTTAGTATTATTCGAGCAAGAATACTAAACCCCTAATTGGTTTAGCTAAAAATCAAATTTTGGTAAAAGTTGATGAAATATATGATTAAAAAGTTAATTAAAATTACGTATCTTATGATATGTGGTTGAAAATGAGTTTGCAGAAAATGAGCTTTAAAAAATGGAGATCTTGAATTGTACCCTCAGCTATTTTACTTAAAATTAACTTCATTTATCATTCAATTTAAATTTTGCATAATACCTAGTGAGCGATTGCATATATTGCACACTAGCATCTATTAATTGTTTTTGCAATACACGAGGGACTATGGTACAATTAATTAGGTTTGCATTAGGTCACAGAATGTTTTAGGTGGGATGATTAATTTTTGGGGAAATCGTAGAAGAGGTTTTAAACTTTTAAGAAATGTGTTATTGAGTCCCAAAACTTCTAATAAATGTGCGTCCCAAAGATTTTTTGACAATTTCTATCCAAAAGACCATTAATTGACCAAAATTTCATCTCCAAACCCGTGGGTTTGGATGGAGAAACCAGGGAAGAAATCCCTCCTACGGTAGCGATTGTTGTGGTGGGTGGTCGTGTTGGTTTTAATTGGTGAAATTTTGGTCAGTTTACAGTCATTTGGATAGAAATTATATAGATTTGGAAACATATTTATTAAAAGGTTCGAAATTAAGTGCTAAGATTAGCATGTTTGGTACCTGATAGCACATTTTTTTAAAGGTTAGGCACATGGCTGCAAATTTCCCTTAATCTTTTTTTATTATTGCATAAAAAAATTTGAGATCTCTTAATTTGATAGCTAATTGCCGAAAAATTAGTTTCTTAAATTAATTTGTTTTTATTTGTAGTTGCTATTTGCATGACCTCTCTACTCACTATGTTTGTCTTATTCGTATTAAAATGTACTTTAGAATATATTTTTATGTATCCATTTCACAATTACCTTTGAAGTTCCAAGAAGAACGAATAAATGCGATTGACTGATGTGTGCGTATTTGTACAAATTGAACAAGCTCAAATCCGCGTAACACTGAATTTGTTAGTTTAAAAGCACCATCAATAGCCCATATTAGTTTTTCGATAAAATTTAAACTCTAAAAAAATATTAAACACACACACACATATATAAAACACATTATTGAATTTAATCTAGTTAAGGTTAATCTAATATATCAATGTGTTTCTTTACGATATTATCGAATTCAATCTAGTTACGTTTGATTTAATACATCACACGATTTGATAAATTAAGATATAATTTGTCAACATGTCTTGAACATGTATTTTAAACCTAAATTACAATCTTAATCTCCACTTTAATTGGTAATATGTCATAGTAATGATGATTACTCGGGTTTCATCAACCCTAACCTATGAAAAATGATTGAGTTATATGCTATAGGGGCATGCAATTAATTAATATGTGTGTGTGTGTGTGTGTATAATTTTTAAATAAAGTGGTGGGGGTCATAAAAGTGCAAGTGGGCTTAGAATCGATTTCTCACGAGGCACATTTCTAGCACAAAATGCAAAGAGATCATGGGATGGGACCCCACTAGAAAAAAAAGTGAATTCTACAGTTAAATAAAGAAAAAGAAAAAGAAAAAGGAAAGAAAAGACAATTCAATATAGTATACAGATTGACTGCAATTTTCGGCAGATTAGGACGATCGTGAGAAAATGAGGCCCCACAGGCCACTGTCAAGTATAGATATTTTAATTTTTTAGCCTATTTTTTAAAATAAAAAAGAAAAGAATTTTACAATGCACTTACATACATCATCCGAACACGGCCTTCCCCACCGGACGAACTGGCCTATGGCACTTCTAGTCCCAAGCAAAACTTAGCATCGCCCCAAGTGGCTTTAGACGTGGATGGTACCGCATGGTGTAAAATCACTCTCTCTTTTAGGAGTGCTTTTAGAGAAAGTAATTCTTTTAATTAGAATAAATACTTTTATAAAATTAATCAAACGAACTCAAAATATTGTATTCTTAATATCATTTCGAAGTGTTCACGATCTAATTTTTTACATCGTTAATGGTGTACGAAATGATCAATCGTATCAAATGCTACGACTTGTCAAAGTAAGCCATTCAAAGTTAGTATTTCAAAAATTTCAATGACATACTAATTTTAAAAATTCTTTGACGATTGTACGCTAATCGAATTTACAAATTGCTCATAGCATCTCAAAACTTATTTCGAGAATTACATTATAGGCATATCGAATAATCCAAACAGATATCGAAAATAGTTAAAAATGCGCTAAACGTGTGTTTTAAAGAAAGGCGTCTAAGTCGCATTTTATTTAAAAAATTCAATTATTTTATTAACATTTATTATTTTTGCAATACAAATTTATTAATCTAATTTTCATCATTTTATTAAGAAATTTTATATGGAATATGAC